AGGTCCCTTTTAAGAGAGCCAAAAGTAGGGTTCAGAAGGGGTACCCTTTAAGGGGTACCCCTAATAATACTACCTACCAATGCGACCGACCGAGATTTCGACGCTGGACTCCCGGACCCGCCCTGCGACTTCTGGCGCTGAGGTCGCCGCAGTGGGTAGATCTACCCTATTGGATTCCATAGGGTTTAGGGGGTTTAAGGGAACTATAAGGGTGTAGCGGCATATATGAGGGTTTAATGACTTAGTAGGGCTTTACTGCCCATTATACTCTGGCTATAACAAAGCACCCCAAAATAGTATAGGTAATTGTTTATGCCCCTACATTAGTTGATTTAGTTCGGAGCTTTCGGATTTCAGGGTATTTAGGTCTCCATGCATTGAGTCGGCAAGGCCCGGCTCCGAGTTGAGCTGCATGGGAAGAATCGCAGCTTGAAAAGCAGTGCACATTATTAGAAAAACCGAACTAGAGTTTACTAGATTAATACGACAAGAACATAACAAGAAAGAATACAAGGTTTAACTACTGATAATCAGGATTCGCCTCCTTTGTGTTCACCCCTTGCCTTCTGGCTTCCCTCACATAGGACTTCTCTGCTGGAGTCGCGCAGCTTGTGGCGCTAATGCCTATCCAAACACGGTTCAGAAGTAGCAGTATCATTAGCAGGACTTCCGATCGCCGAAAGAGATTGGCTTGGGCGGTCTGCATGTCACTTAGCGGCGTTCGTCCAGGAGAATCAATAAGCACTTCGGCTTTGTGGCAACGAGAGGTCATGCAACTCTTTCGTGCATGTCTTGCATGAATACAATGGTGTGTGTGTGTGTGTGCGTGCACCGTCGCTTCGGTAAGCATCCGGAGCTTCATACAAGTGCCAGCATGGCTTGCGTGTCGAAACACTTCAACACAGCAGCTGTGCATACCCATGGGTGGAACCATGTTCGTCACATAGATGGCTTTGTGTTGTCTTCGATGCCTCGTCACGATGCCCTGGGGCAGCTCAAGCAGGAGGACAAAGCAAACCGACAAGCTGGGATGGCATGTGCTTCCACACTGTGCCTTTCATCCGCACACAGACCTCGCAAAAGGTGGAAGACCCTGGCTGCAACGACCCTCAGAGCATATCTGGGGTGTTAAGGAGCCTCCGGAACTTCACTGTACCCTTAAGCCGTGATGGCTTAGAGGAGCAACAACAACAACAAGAACAGCAGTGGTCAGGTTTTAGTCGCGACTACAGTCACCATACTCTGAACAGCAAGAGTCACAACACTCATAGTTCACTCCTCGCGCTGGGATGCGAAGCCAAAGCTGCTGACAATTTCGGTGCCTGGGACTCAGGCCAATTTTCACTGTCAATGATACTGGCCATGACGGCCATGTAATGTTCATGGGTGTTGATGAATCTGAGGACACTATTCATGATTATAGTGCTGATGATCACCGGCTGATGGTGACAGTTGTGTTGCTGATGGTGGTGACGAAGAAGATGGCAGCAATGATAAGGATGATGCTGCTGATGATGAGGCGGTTGATGATGCTATGTAGACGACGGCGATATCTGTGAGGTGATGCCAATATTAGTTGGTATGCTCCGTTGATCTGTGTCCGTAATGTTGGCGTGATAATAAAGATAGTTCTGCTAAGAATGATGAGTGCTTTTGAAAAGCGGCATCATCAGTAGTCATGCTGATGGCTGGTGTCATGATGGTGCGGCTGCTGCAGCTGCTTCTACTACTACTGCTGCTACCGCTACTGCTACTGCTATTGCTACTGTTACCGCTACCGCTACCGCTACCGCTACCGCTACCCCTACCCCTTCCGCTACGGCTACGGCTACGGCTACGGCTACTGCTACTGCTACTGCTACTGCTACTGCTGCTACTGCTACTGCTACCGCCACTGCTGCTGCTGCTGCT